TTGGTCTATTTTTAGGGGATGTTTTCTCAGTAAGGAACAGAGCTTCAGTTCTTAAATCCTAATTTGGAAGGGTTCCTATGCATTTTAAGGCCATTAGATACTTGATCTTTTGAAGAAGTGGTTCTAGGAGGAACCATAGACTGTATTTTCAAAGTAGCTTTCACAGACCTGGTGGTGTAGGCAGTTTAAGGGCTGCTATGATGTTTAATTTCTTTGCCACAGTGGTCTTTTCCTTGAGATGGCATTTTGACCATAAAATATATATTGATTTTTTTTTTTTTTTGTCTTTTTGAGACAGGGTCTCTGTAGTAGTCCCAGCTGGCCTGGAACTCGCTATGTAGACCGGGCTGGCCTCTCAAACTCATAAAGATCCACCTGCCTCTGATTCCCCAGTGCTGAGATTAAAAGTGTGCACACCTGATGGTTTTATTGAATTTTAATTAGCCTAAGAGTACATAGATTACATAGTACTAACTGAGACCTTAATTTTTATTAGTAATAGTGGCTTGATAATTACATTAGGAAGATGGATAAAGGATGAGGATTTTAGAAGGGAAAACAAAAACCGCTGTGTTTTGTAAATTTTTTAAAAATAGAGCTGTGGGGCTGGAGAGATGGCTCAGAGGTTAAGAGCACTGACAGCTCTTTCAGAGGACCTGGGTTCAATTCCCAGCACCCACATGGTGGCTACCAACCATCCTTAACTCCAGTTCAGGGAATTTGAAGCCCTCTTCTGATCTCCAGGGCATTGCAGGACAAGGGTGCACTCACATGAATGCAGGCAATGCACTCATACACATAAAATAAAAATAATAAAATATTAAAAAAAAATAGAGCTATAACACTGGGCATGGTAGTGTGTTCCGAGCCCTTGGGAGGCAGAGGCAGGCAGATCTCTGAGATCAAGGCCAGCCTGGTCCACATAGTGGGCTTGGGACTAGGGAGACTCTGTCCAAAAAAAAGTAGAGCTATATAGTTTCCATGAATTTCAGTTTTATCAGGAAAGTACTTTGAAGACAGCCCCTACTCTGAATAGAACTTTTTACAACCTTGGTAGATTATCAGATGTGTTTAATCTTTGTGTACCCCAGTTGTCAGATATACTTTGACAAAAGCAGATAATCTAAAATCCAAATTAAAACTGATTATTGACTAGCAGCTGCTTGAGATTTGTTTGCTTGTTTTAAATATCCCTTGAGAATAGAACTAGAGAAAATATTTAAATTGTGGTTAGATTGTATATGTAAAAATCTAAGTAGCTATTTATGGTATTTGAAGAGAATTTTATCCCCCAAAGTCACTGCATCAGTTTTTTTCCTCTGGAATGATTTATACAGGATTCTGACTAGAGAGGAGTCAGAAGATGCTTGCCTTTTGGTTACTTCAGCTCTAAATTTTAAGAACTTGGTTCTGTGGAAATAGCCTGTCTATTCTAGTTTTGGTTTCTGTTGCTGTGATAAAACACTGACCAAAAACAACTTGGGAAGGAAAGCATTTATTTCATTTTGTTTTCGAGATTATCACTTAAAGGCTTTAAAGTCTGTTTTACCAATTTTTCTGTTTGATTAATGCTTGTTTTTCTTATCTAAGATATCTTGCCCACCTCATGGCTACAAAATTATTTTTGCCAATATTTTTATCTGAGTTTTAATAGTTTCAGTTTTCATGTTGTTCACATAGAATTCATTTCTCTTTATGATGTGAGATAAGGATCTCACCCCAAACCATATGCCCAGTTGTTAAGTACTGTATGTTAAGAAGGCTATCCTTTTCCTTTGAGATCTTAAATGTCTGTTGCCCTATGTCTATCTTTGCTCTAGTACTACACTGTCTATTCTTACTGAATCTTGGGAAGTGCTAATATGTCTTTAGTTGAGTAGAACCTTTTCCTTCTCCTAAAATGTTAGTGCAGCAGTATAAATAAGGTTGTTTTGTGATTTTTTTTTTTTTTTTTGGAACAGGTTCTTACTGTGCAGACTAGACTGGCTTTGAACTCACAGAGATCCACTTGCCTCTATTTCACAGTTGCTGAGGTTAAAGGTGTGTGACACCATGTCTGGCTTTTTTTAAAGAATAGTTTTCAACAGTTTAAAATTTCCAGTTTGACTGGGAATGCGAAGTATATTAACCATGTTATTTGAAATGAATTTTAAGAGGAAACTCTTTGTTACATTGCTATTGACTGCCTTTCTGAATTCCTGTATTTAGCTAAATATGGATTTTTATTTGTTGCAGTTCATTCGCTAAGACCTGGTTTGTTACTGATTTTTAAAAATTGTGCTGGGCATGGTGATGTGCACCTTCAATCCTTGTGAGCTCAAGGCCAGGCTGGTTTACTTAGTGAGTTCCAGGCCAGCTGGGGCTACAGGGAGAGAGATTCTTAAAAAAACCATTAGAAAAAAGTTGTACTTAAAAAAAAAAAGTTTATGTATGTTGTGAAACATCTTCAGAAACTTTCCATGTTGTAAAACTGAAACTATACCCATTAAACAACAGTTCCCCTCTCCCATTTCCTATAACCCTGGGTAGCTACAGTTACCATTTTACTTAATTTTTTTGTTTTTTTTTAGCTCTGGATCTCATTATGTAGTCCTGGGTGGTCTGGAATTTGCTGTGGGAGACTAGGATGGCCTCAAGCTCAAAAGAAATCCACTTGCCTCTGCCTCCTGAGCCATTTTATTTTGTGATCTATGAATTTGTCTGCATTAGAGTCTAGACATGTCATATAGGTTGAATCTCCAAAGTATTGCTATCACTTTATGACTGGCTTATTATTTCACTTAGAACAATGCTGAAGCATGTGACAGGATTTCCTTTATAAAAGCTGAGTAGTATTCTGTTGCATGTGTGAGCCATATTCTGTGTATTCATCTTTGAATGAACTTTTGAGGTTCTACTTCTTGGCTATTGTGAATAGTGCAGTTATGAACATGGAAAAATCTCTTGGAAGACCCTGTTGTTAGTTGTTTGGATATATAGTTCTATGCCCCATAATGTTTCAGTCAATGACAGATCTCATACAGGATTGGTACCACATTTGTAAGCTGTTGTAGTTTGTGTAAGTACATTACATTCTGACATCCCCCACAGTCTTCTGAGTACACATTTCTCAGTATATCCAGTCCATTAAAGTGCACATGAGACTTTATTCCCAAAGTGGGATTGCTGGATCATGTTACAGTTTTGTGTTTGTCAAGGAACTTCCATTACTATTTACTCTAGCAGTTGTTGTATTAATGATGTTCAGAAAGTTTTAAATGGTGTGACTGGGGAACAGTAGTAACTCAGTGGGTAAAAGCACTTGGACCAACGATCTGAGTTTGAATCCCTAGCTCGAAGTTGGGCTTGGCTGCAGTTACCTGTAACTCCAGCATTTCGGGCAGAGATGGGCAGATCCTGAGACCTCTGAAACAGCGAGCTTCCAGTTCAGTGAGACTTGTCTCAAGAAAACAAGGCTGAGAGGGATAGAGGAAGACACCTGAAGTCCTGCCCTGTCCCCTATGTGTGGACACCTGTGTATGCACCACAGGGAAGTGGGGGGAGGGGAAAATTTGAGATTTGCTTTGTTTTATTCTGTCTTTAGAATTCTTTTAAAACAGTGATCACCCTTGGGTACAGTTGAGTACTTATTTTAATGATTATAAGTAGAGTAGAGCTTGCAGGTTGTGACTATAAATACAGAACCTTTTTTTCTTTTCTTTCCCCAGATTGGGAAAATGAGGTATGTCAGTGTTCGGGACTTTAAAGGGAAAATTCTAATTGATATTAGAGAATATTGGATGGACTCAGAAGGTGAAATGAAACCCGGAAGAAAAGGTGAGGGTCCATTTCTTTAATTTGATTTCAATGTTGGCTAAATACCTACCTTACTTGAAATGTTGACAGAGT